AAAWKRWTTTWRKWAATTGGTAAGATTCGATGGCYTCYAGCACTTGTCTTSTTCRCGGTCTCCCAAGCTATCAATTGTCTCAAGTGTATCGCGGACGTTGGAGACGACCGGTTAGTATGAAATGGTATATCATACTCTTCCAAATCTATACATACATATTCTGTACATAGATCATCGCAAGCTTACAAGTCTCGAGTCTCGATTCTGCCAAAGCCACGATTACCTTTCAAATTCATGGCGCGGAAATAGCTATGAAGAACATTGTGGACGTATGGGACTATCACTCACAACCACTACACTGGACTGTTTTCGACCACTGTATCKCATAGAGTGAGAGGGTGAAAAGGAGAAAACAAAGGGGCCCAAAGAAACATTGCGAGAGCAAGAAGGACTCCCAAGTAACATCTCACATCACATAAAATCACAAGCAATAAGAGATTATTTCCCCCACATTCAAAATTCAATTTAAAAGACAATTTGACTAGGATTCGAACCTTATCAATTGTTCCACCTACCTTTGTATCTGGTGGCAAGGAATGCTGGAGAGGAAGAAAGTATCGTTTGACAACTGAGAGGTTCTTGTAGTAGGCAAGGACCAGCTCCACCTCGTAACTACCCTTAGGTGCYCCTTCGACTAGAACACCAATGTTTCGACAAAAATGAAGTATTTTCAGGATCTCTTGCTCACCCAAATGAATGGCCTAAAGATACGATCAAATCGTACAGTTACTCAGTTATTGATAACTTGCAATTATCATCAAAATTATAGTCGTCATATTGCGCAAGGACGACGGTGTTTGTGCTAAAATATAACAAAGTCCCTCGCAGACCATGTACTTTCCTTGTTTTCAAGTTCTTGCGATTTGCATTTGGTGTTCGCATCTTTATCATTTTATTTTTAATATTTTTTTTTTGCTACTTTGTGCGTCCAGAGACTGTCCAGACCGAGCACGTTTCTTTCTCGTATTCAATTCCCCCCTTAACTTGCCAATAGGTACATGACAGGTAAAATCCAGATATCCTTAATTAGACGATAGTGAACCCTATTCGTTTCTCTTCGATTTTTTGCAGTGCGCACACAAAGAATTCTAGATCATTGAAAATAGTCGTACAGTTCACGAATACTAGTCTGTTCCACCTTGTCTAAGACTTACTTGAAAGCAAAGTGGAACCACTGCTTCTCTAATAAGCCCCTTGCTGACAATATCATCAATTGCTGAGCGAAGAGTCCAGTCATTMGGTTTGGTATTCGTAGGCCAGTACCTCTCTAAATGACCTGCCTTAATAAATCTAGGAACAAACTCTCTTGGTTCCGTCTCGTTGTGCATACATGCCAAACAGTCCAACAATATGCTTGGATTCACGCAAACAGTACGAGTTTGAGAGGGGTCTTGGTTATTTGCAGGTATTCGGAACACTGTTATACAACCCTAAAGACATTCAAAAGGAATTCACAAATAAATATTACTCTATTAATACAGTTGGACCTCTTTGAACGACCGATCTCGTAAGCGACCATATCCCGTAAGCGACCACCTTTTAAATTTCGCGTTATAATTGTTTCCCATACAAACCCTGTAAAAAATCTCCCGTAAGCGACCATCTCTTGTAAGCGACCACTTTTTCCTGATCCCGAAGTGGTCGCTTACGAGAGAGTTGACTTTAGTTAACATCATCCTTTTCAGACTTTGAACATTTCCGTTCTTATTTCTCCAAAGAAATACCGCGGCTCTATATCATATAAGATACCTGTAGCTATATTTTGGACTTCCTAGAGTAGAATGCTAGTAACTATATGTGTACACTACATAAACAAGAACAATCTAGAGTGACATTTAAAAATGTTTTCGTCGGTTGCTAGCTCCTYAATGTGTCCTGTCYGCGTGACCAAAAGTAACTCATTATAATATGATGGATAAAATRTCTTACCCTGCACTCCAGGATTACTGTTGCTCTTTCAATTGCTTGTTGGTCATTGATTCCCGACTCAGAGGCAAGTTTAACGTACTGCTCCCATGGTATAACTACAACTCTGTCTTCTCTGAGCTTGAGAATCTCCGMATATAGATATGTCACGGTGATATCTACTTCTTCGATGAGATGCGGRAACAACGCGGGATCTTGAAGAAGTGCAAAGATTTCATTTTGAAGAGCAGTTATGCCCTGAAAATGTTCGGTAAAAGAAGTAAATTAGTGGGCGGAGGCGCACAGAGAAACAATATGAAAGATTGGTACAGGTAGAGATAAAGAAAAAAATGAAAGTAAAAAATTTAAGTTTTCTATTTGAATATTTCCTGCCAAAACTATAAAGTATATCCATTTCATTCTACGCAAGTTTATTTCCCAAACGACTTGCCATCATAGTCCTACATCATTGTCGAATCTGATTACATTGTAAATATGACCCGGTGAAACTTATACATATGCAATTTTTATTCATACCTTTCCCTTGATGGAGCTGACATAAAGTACTTTATCTGGAAGCCTTGGCCGGCAGTTGAGTAGCTGCTCTAATCGCTCAATTCGGGTCTGTATGAATGGATCATTTTTCTTGTCATCTGTTCTGTTGATTAAAGTGGGAAAAGGAATAACAATGAAATGCTTTGCGCTACGTATCGAGAAAAGCAAATCGAGACGACGATCTGAGCGGTTACACAATTAATAAATCTAAAAAACGATGAATAAAACATCAGCGCACATCATTACAAGAGCACACCACGTCATTAAGGGAAACTTTGACTGGAGTAAGAGCTCATCATAGGTTATTTTTATTTCATACTTACTTTAAAATTTCCAGTTCTGCTTTGACCTCCAAATAATGCTCGTTTTCAGCGTTCTTTAGTGTATTCAAAGCTTTATTGCTCAGATTTTCGAAGTCTGCATTTGAACCATCCGCATGAGTACCAACAACAATGATGGCACAGCCAGGGGTCTGTAAAAAAATACAGAAAACAAATACAGTGTATTTTCAAAAATAAATACAAAATGCATGTAACTAAAAAAATTATTCAAAAAATAAAATAAAATAAAATAAAATAAAATAAAATAAAATAAAATAAAATAAAATAAAATAAAATAAAATAAAATAAAATAAAATAAAATAAAGAGAACTATTATATTTTGTGTGTTAAATTTGAGCCAATCATAACTTGAGAAAAGAAATGAGAAGAAATTTAATCCAATCAAAAACGAGGAAAGCCAATTAAGTGCAAAAGCGCGCGCATTTGAGTTGATCAGTGACAGGGGCGCGTTGTASCACACATATGGACGRTCAAAATCAGTGGAAATTTGGACTTTTTATCAAAGATTAGCTCAATATTTCAAAATTCAGTATCATACATCCAAATGCTGGATGCGAAGAGTGGATGTATTGACAAATCAAGCCGTAAAGGGCAATTAATTCCTTAGAAACATGAGAATCGAATCGACCATGAGTGACAAAGCGCCATCTTTGCGAGGTAAGCATGTCTAAACATTTATTAATATGTTTCTGAATAAATTTTGCCGCTTGTATAATTSAAAAGTCTACCGCATGCATTTATTAGAGTCAAATACCTTTGTTTGGACTAGAAACAGCCAGTTTGGCAGGTTTTCGATGTCTCTTGGGTTATAAATGTTGAACGTGAGCACGTAGAGCGTTTGGTCTGTTAAGAATAGTGGATGCAATCCCTGTGTGCACTAGTGAATCAAATATAATAAAACAA